AATTTTTTAGTTTTGGAACATGTACAATACTTGAGATTTTGAGATTTATAAAGAGACGATGCGCCTTGTTTGATTATTTTTCAATTATTTATTAAATTATTTCCTTATTTATTTATTTTAATTTTTAATTTTTAGTTTATATACTTATACAATATATTATTTATTTATTTATTTGTTTATTTATTTTTGCATTAACTTATTTAAACAATTACAAATAGCTAGTAGCTTCAGAATCAGTTGAATGTCCGCTCCAAGCAGGGCAATTTGAGAATCGTTTAGATCAAGATGAGAAATATTTCACAATAATTTCTAAACCAAAAAGAAATCTCTTTGGAAGCAATTAATTATCTTTTTGGCCATACTTCGCACTGCTACAACAGCCGGCTTCCTCTTTAGCTTGCCTCAAAGTAATGATTTTGCATTATGGTACTAAATTTTGGTGCTGGCTTTCCCAACTATTATATGCTATGTGTATACATGCATATCTACTGAATTCTATTCCCATTACACAATGGCCCTGTAGGGAGAAGTACTAATTGTTAACTAGAATCCAACTGATATGGACTTTTGCATCAGCTAGTTCATTTCCCAACCATTTTCCATGTAAGCAACTAGTATTTTTAACACTGCGCTGCCTAGTAACCTTCAATTATCGAACTATGCATTAGCTTCATACTAGTTGTATACCAGTTCATTTGGGCGTATTTAATTTCTAGTTCACCAAAGAGAATCAAAATGAGTATGCCCGCGGCGAAACTCGAACCGTGACACACTACCCACTCGGCTGCCGTGACGATATAGCGATCAATATCATTTTGCGCACTGCAACAGAGCGGAACGGAGAATGCTGCTGATTTGCTATACAAATAAAGAACTGATATGATTTCAACTTCAAAATGCTGGTATTTAACTAGAATTTTTGCCTAGTCTACCTTCTTCCTGCCGGGTGAATGATAAGCTCGCAAGTATTTAACGTGAAAACCTGTATGTTCATATTCGTACATATGTGTGTATGTGTATATGCGTATGTATGAAATGTAAAAGAAAAATTTGATTACCCTATCTGCAGGAGCTCATTTCATTTGATTTACCTTTATTGTATGAGTACTTGTTAAATCAGTGTAATCTGCTTACTTTAAATTGGCTACGAGCCATACGGCAAGACTTGGGCGGTGCCAATGTTGGCCGACTCAGTGGGAGCTGAAAATCTGCATGTACTTTTAAATGACTGCATATACACACGAACATAGCAGAACTTGCACCAAAAAAAAAGTTGTAATTTTTATGGAAATTGTTAAGCTTTTGATGGATGCTGTGCGCCTGAATGCTGTTAAATGTGTTTTAAGTTTATTTTAAGCGGCTGAACACCTTGTTAAATTAAATTTTTTAATACAAACAAATTTTTTTTTTCACAAAAAAATTCTTTAACGAATCGATTGTTACATTATGAAAATCTAAAAATGTAATTAAAAAGTCTACATATTTGTAAGTTTCATTCAACCTAATTAAAAAAAAAGAAGTTTTTCTCATGGTTTGATATACTTTCAATACTTGATTTTGATAAATTAATAATGTAAAATATTGAATATTTTTTATGTTTTATAGTCTTCACAGCATTTATTCAAAACCAGAGCAGCTAAGTTGTTTTCCTTTCATTTCCACTCTTTTTTTTTAATTTAAATACAAAAATTTTGTTTCGAATTGCTTTTCTAGTGTAGCGCCATATCGTCCATTCTCAGTGCTTTATTTAGCGCTTTTTGGTCTCACATTTGGTGGTCGTTGTGGTAGCGCATTGGTGGTCAGTGTAGTAGAGGCTAGAGAGCATAGCTAATGCCATTTGCTATACATATTTTCGATTAGCTGCTTGTAAATATGTTTTGTTTTTGTTTTAATTAAATCGCCGCATGTTGCTTATTGTTCTGCTACTTTAGCACACATGCATGTATGTATGTTTGTATGATGATGTTTTCCTCATTTCATATACTTTTGAACAAACATACACGGATGCATATCGTATCTACTCTTGAGTATTCAGCTATGTACATATGTATGTTTTCGGTTGTTTGAATTTACCTCAATTCCCATGTTTTCCAATATTCAATTGGCGCCTTTATGACTTAATTATTGTAGAATTATCAAAGCCCATAAATTATATACTAAAAATGATTTGAAATTTTATGCTTCAAGGTTTTACATTCTAATACAGTTAGAGAGGAAATAAAAAAGGATTTGGTATAAAAGTTGAATTTCATTTAATATACCCAACAACACCGTGTATATAAAGTGCATATGTGTGTGGTATATACATATGTAGAGTTATCCATTTCATGGCTTCTAAAGTACGGCGCTGTGTATTAGCATCTGCCAAGCTTAACTGTCAAACAAAACATGTTTCGTTTTAGTTAAAAGTCCGGCATTAGGAAAGTGGATCGCTTAACAACCGCACAACGCGCTGAATTTGTTAAAATCTACTATATTGCAAAGAAAAGATGATTTCATGCCTTAAGAAGGGACTATAGTTTACATAAACCTACAACTACTCAAGCAACTGATAAAACTTTAAAGAAACTTAAGGAGACTGAGTCGGCTACAGATGTCGTAAGGCCTGTGCATCTTCGCTTTGTTCGTTCCACCTAAGAACCTACTAGGGGAAGTGTGGCCGAGGACCCGAATGTGGCTATTATTCGACGTTTTCAAGAACTGGGATTTTTTAACGGCACTTGGACTTGCATCTAAATCCATATGAAGTCCAGTACACACAAGAACTGAAGCCAGTTGACCATTCACAATACCGCATACGTCGATTGGGCGCTTGAACAACAGGCTGTGGACGGCGATTTTTCGCACAAAAGAGATAGGGCAAATTTCTCGCTCGAGGAAAAAGTAAATAAGCTGAAGTGGAGCTCCGAAAGACCATTGCTGCCTGTGAGCCCTTTGGCTCGCTTCTCTGAAAACGACAACGGCAAGACTGTCACAGTCAAATCAGAACATTACAATCGTATTATAACCGATTTTATGGCCTGCACGACTTGAACAATATATGTTCCCAACAAGATGCTGTCATACAGAGTTATTTTCCGGCTGCATAATCTCTCGTTCTGGCGATGTCCATTGTATGTCTAGATCATGCAATTTGGCACCGTTGGACTTTGTTTGTGAAGCTAAGCGGTTAAACACTCTTTAACACTTGAAACCTAACATTAGTCAAGTTATGATTGAGATACCGGCCAATATGTTGCAAAAAAGTATTTAAGAATTACCTCAAACGAAACGAATTTTACGAAAATTCACTAGGCGGTCATTTGAATGCTGTAGTATTTCACTTAGAATAAAGAGATTCAAACTTTATAATTATAAAAGAGTCTCATGAAAAAAAAGTGTTTTAAATTCATTTTATTTACGGCTGCAAAATGGATAACCCTGTGAATTTAAATATTAAATTTGTCCAGCTAACGGTGGTGGTAATTAACATAAAATAATTGATAAAAATTTGAAGATAAATATTTGTATGGCATGTTTCCTCATCAGTCAGTCGATTCGTGGAAATTCAGCATACAAAATCACGAAATAAGAAATCCCGAAATATATAGTCCAGACACGATCAAACCAGATCAGACATTTTTCAGACACAACCAGCCTAATAGAACATAATCCTGATAAGACGAAAGTCAGAAAAAAGAAAATGTTTTTGGTATTTTATCCTGTCTGTTTATTGTATTATCTGTATTTGGTCTGCTCGGGATTTTGCCATATCTATTCTATGTAGTATTCGTATTGTGTCTAATTTTTTAAATTGTCTGAATTATATACAGCCTGGTTTTAAATCTCGAGATTATGGACTGTTAAATTATACTTCTTATGGTTTTTTTTTTGTTCTAAAGGGTGATTTTTTAGCTATTATCTTTTTGGCAACACTGGTTTAAGCAACTGACGCTCGATTAGTGTTTTGTATCAGTGTCAAACATCTTCATTTTGGTCTATAAATGAACCATGAAACGAACAAAGCTTGCAAATTATTGAATTTTACTATCAAAATGCGTGCTCCATTATGAAAAAAAAAAATTGTGTTTCTGCGACGAAGCTCATTTTTTGCTCAATGGGTTTGTAAATAAGCGAGACTGTCGATTTTGGAGTGAAGATCAGCCAGATACATAGCATGAGCTACCTATGCATCCAGAAAAATTCACAGTTTGGTGCGGCTTATGAGCTGGTGACATCATTGGACCGTTTTTCTTCAAAGATGATGCGAATCGTAAAGTAACTGTGAATGGTGAGCGCTACTGTGAGATAATATCAAATTTTTTTTGCTCTAAATGCAAGAGCTTCACTTGCATGACATGTGGTTTCAACAAGATGGTGTCACATGCCACACAGCACGCGTAACAATAGACTTATTGAGAGGCGAGTTCGGTGAACATTTTAATTCATGTTCGGGACCGGTCAATTGGCCCTCTACATCGTGCGATTTACCGATTTTAGAGTATTTTTTGTGGGGCTATGTTACATCTAATGTCTATACATACAAGCCCACTTCAAATGACGCATTGGAGGACAACATTGAAGCATTTTTTTGTGAGATACCGGCCGAAATGTTGGAAAAATTATGCCAAAATTAGACTAAGCGGATAGACCATTTGAGACGCAGTCACGGTCAACATTTGCAAGAAATAATCTTCAAAAATTAGAAAATATGGACCGCACTATCAATTCAAATAAAAATTTCATGCATTTTAATTTTTGAATTTTAAGTTTTTTTTTTAACTTTCCTTTCCTTTAAATTACCCTATATAAGTACAAGCTAAGCCCCATTGTAATATTTTATTTTGCAAAATAAAATTTCATTTAAAAATAATAATGGAATAGTGAAATATGAACGTTACCAATAATTTAGATACTATTTATTAATGGAAAATATATATTTTTTTTATAATACTAAAGGACATAAATTCAAACCTAATCTCAAAAGTCTAATCACTGTATTTTTCATTTCTTTCATACAGATATCAGCTGCTGGCAACTTTGAATTAGAAATATTAGAAATTTCAAATACAAATAGCCACTTACTGACGGGCTATTGTTGTGGGGTTCCTCTAGAAATAAGAAGTACAAAAACGACGGGTGAGCAAAGTCGGTTTTAAATGCAAAGTGAATTTTTTTACAATAAAAACCCACTTACAGGTTGCCCGCCATGTTCTACAGCGTTTCGTCTCTGCCTCAAGGAGTATCAGAGTTCGCCGCCCAGCATTACGACAGGCTGTTCGTTTGGCAATAAAACGACGGCGATATTGGGCGGCTCCAGCTTTGTGCTGAGTGAGCCGGGCATGAGTGCAATTGTGTTGCCATTCACATTCCGTTGGACGGTGAGTAATGAAATAAAGTTTTACTGATATTTATTATTATTAATATATTTTATTCTGCCAAATAGTGTGTATGTATGTTTGTAACAAAACTATTATTATTTATGTGCATAATGTAGGTATATACGAGTACATATGCACAAACATTGAAGGTCACTATGTCACTGAGGTAAACTTAATTTTTTTATTTTTAACGCGATATATTTTCAAATTACATACGTACATATTTAGAGGGATGGCGTGTGATAAATTCCAGCGCATGCCAAAGTATTTTAATTCCACTTCACAACTTTTGCTGATATGACTTTGCCCATTAGAGAAGCAAAAGGAAATTAAAGGAATATGTGTGTGATAAGAGTATAAAGTTTTCTTTCACCAAAAGTAATTATTTGAATATAAAACCAAATTTGAAATTATATTGTTGGCGGAAGATGCATATTGTGCGGAAATGAAATGAAATCTCTTTGTAGGCTTAAGTTTTTTAAATTTTTAGTGAATAACCAGGTTGGCTTACAGAGTTTTCCAATAAGAGATAAGATAATTAAAAAAAAAAACATTTTTTGAAATAAATGATCGGATATTTAATTCAATGTAAAGAAGAAGATATGCCAATATATAATGGAAAACAATATCAGCTAAAGGTCCACATGAGTATCCAATCCAAGATACCAGTGGCCTGACAAAAGAGTTTCACTCAAGAATACTATGCAAGGCGAAGCCGGTATTGGGAAGACCCAGGGTTATTTTTATAATTGAAAGTTGCGAAAATTTAATTCAATTTAAATATTATTTTTGTACTAATTTAAAACAATTTTGTATTCATCATCCGGTTGCCACTTTCCGCGAAAAAGTTATTATTGAAGAGAATTTATGTTTTACATGCCTTAAATGAAATCAAAGGTATGTTCATGCTCCTTATATTTCTGCTGATTAAGCTTATGATTAATACGACAAAATTAAAAAAAAAAAAAACAGATTTTCTAAAAAAAAAATAGTATCATTGGACAGTTAAGTTAAATTCCTTCTCGTTGATGTCTATATTTCAATACTTTCTGAAGATAAATTTTGAGAAAATCCAGTAAAAAAAAATAGTAATTTAACTTACCTTTCCAACGATAGTAAGTGTTAAAAATTCGGTGTACAGCTTTTCAAAATCAAGAGTTTTATAATTTTCAAAAATTCTCCCCAAGCGAAAATAAAACTTTGACCCCAAAAAAAAAACAAATATATCATTAAAATCAGGGGCGGACTAAACCCACTTTTTTATTTCCTCAAATTTACCGAGAAGCTGTGCTGCCTCTGATAATTTTTAAAGGGGAATCTCGTGGTATTCATAGTTTTAAATCCACTCAATTTACTGAATGTGTATTCTCTTTCAATCTTTCTTAATTTGAATATTCTGTTGATTTCCATTAACTCCATAGTTTCATGGAATGCAATGCAAAAATTGAAAGCATTGAAAAGCGCGTAAAATTCGTAACAAAACATTTTTAAACCACTTTCACGCATCATTTTCGGATTCACAACTTTATGATGAAAAACAAAAAGTTATAATTAATATTATTACAAAAATGCCAAATCATTGCGCTACATATTTCTCCCCCTACTGTACATATACAACACCGGAAATTTCAAATATTTTTTATCTTTTCTTCAAATTACTCAAAAATTTTGGTGTAAAAACATGACTCATCTCATCTCATGGCAATTAAATTGAATGAAATAAATTTTGGTAAATTAGAAAAAACGAGTAAAGAAAATAAATCAAATTAAAGCGGATTAATTCGCCCATATTGTACGCTTGAACAGTGAGAGATGAAAAAGTACGGCTCTAACTATCAAACACATACCTGTCTCTATGTAAATAGTTAGAGAAGAAGCAGCGCAGCAATGATTTGCATAAACAAATCTCATCTAGCTGCCATAGCAGCGCATCATCATTACATTTTAGTTAACAAAAAGCAATTAATTTTACTAGTTTTTACTGGCAGACATAGTAAGCTACGGGAGAATAACATTTTTTTGTGTTGCCCTCTTCCACTCTTGATGTGTATTTTTCTCCATTTGAAAGCACTATTACCTAGCTATCACGCAAATGCTTAAGGGTTTTATCAAAACTTTAAAAAAGAATTTTTCTAAATTGTGTCTCAATTTTAGCAGTACCAAGAAAAGTACTCCTCTTTTCTTAGTTTTAAAATGTTTTTTAAACAATCATCAAAACCACTATTTCAGAGAGTCCTTTGCAATCGCTTATTCATTAGCATAGATTCATTTGTTTTATTTTTTATTTAATTTTCGAAACCTATTAATTTAATAATATTTTGTGTACAACAAAATTCTTTTGCCATTAAAATAAAACCAACTCAGAGACGTGTAAAAAATTCTATTTTCGAAGTCAGATTTTTTCATCTCTAAATATCTGAGGATCGAATTACAACATTCGTGAACGTATCGCCAATCGTACGAAAGAAAATTATATGATACGTCATACTCGTATGTACCGAATGGGATTATACCACACGAAAGCAGACGATTTTTACTTCCACTTGTGTTTGGATCGTAATTTAAGGTCACAATAAATGTGGAACTATAAATTTTGTTCAAAAATAAATTAATTTGAAGTCAGCAAAGCCCAGATGCTCCTCTTACTACTCAGAAAATTAAGCTGGTCAGAGAACTCGAAAGAAAGTATGGGTAAGACGTACATTGCCCTGCAAAGGTGGGATAAGCCGGAAATGAGTCACGTCACCTAAAATAAGGCCTACACTACTCTTTGGAGTACTAGTCTTGTGGCGTTAATATACCGGGTAATAAGATGGCGGACGAGGTTGCCAGGAAGGCCACTTTCCTTCCTCTTTCGCCAGTAAAAAAGATTTTTGGTATGCCGCTCTCCACTTGTAAGCTCAATGTAGAAGAGGTATTCATTAATGATGCGGCACAAGATGGAGTAGTCTCAAAACGCGTAATGTAACCTGAACAATATGGCAGGAATAGTATAGAAGAAGGTCACGTTGCTGTATCAAGCTAAAGATAAAAGAGATAACTACTGTTTTAGGTGCTCTTACAAGGTCTATTCTGTATAGCAGGCCCAAAGAGAAATTGGGCGTACCATCTAATTATTTCTGCAGAAGTTGCAGACAAGAAGAAGAAACTGAAAACCTTAAGGAACTTATTTTACGAATACCTCCGCATCACTTTGAAGCAGTAGGGTGGTTTCTCTAGGGACAGCAACCTTTGGAAATAGCGGGTGCTAAGTTACGGCGACTGCTTAATATTGCCATTAATTGATTCGTCTGGTGGTTTAAGTGAACAGATGCCCGGTAACCACTTCAACCAATCAATTAATTTTAAAAAAATATACAAATATATTTTTGTTTTTATATTTCACTTGAAATGATAACGGAAATTATAAACAAATTAATCCTTCGCACTTGGAGTTCAAAAGAAGTAGTGCGAATGTAAGGATGAATGTGTAAGTTTCTCCACCAGTCCGCTTTAAAGATTTCGCTGTAGGATCTTTTTTATTACTATTTTCTAAGAGCATGAGCTGAGCTTACTTACCAAAAAACCTTTTCTTCAAGATTCAAAATATGTACTCTTGAACCTTTTGCTTTCCTTTCATATACAAGGTGTGTCCCAAAAATAACCGAACTTTTTGGATATAAAATAAAATACACATTATATTATCTGTGAAAGTTATTATTTATTCAAAATAGGTTTCATTTGACTCAACACAACGTTTGGAATGATCAACCAGCGCATGCATAGATTTTTTTATGTCATTTATAGAAATGTTCTTCAGTACCGCGGTTACGGCTGCTTGAATGGCTAGAATATCATCATATAATGCTCCCTTTATCTTGGTTTTCAGTTTTGGAAATACAAAATAGTCACGTGGAGATAGATCAGGCGGATACGGAGGATGGTCGATGAGAGAAATCCCTTTTTTCATTAAAAATTCGAGCGATTTTTCGGTCGTCATTTAATTCATGTAGAACAAATCGCGCACAGACCTTTCTTTTCTCCAAATCTGCAGTTAAAACTCTCCAAATAGTGTTTTTACTCGTATTCAATTCCTCAGCCAACATTCTCGTAGTAAAATTTACGCCGATACCAATGATTTCACGGTCTTTTTCCCCAGTTCAGCACGATTACTATTTTCTGGACGTCCAGCTCTAGGGTCGTCATTTAGAGCCTCACGACCATTTTTAAATCGTGTAAACCACGTATGAACTTGCGTACGACTCATACAATCATCACAATAAACTTTTTTTATTGATTTTTTTATTGAAGTTTGACACAAAAAATTTTATATTTGCTCTTTGTTCCATTTAATTTTTGAACCATTAGCACACTTTTGGTTTTATTGAAATGGCTGTCACTTTTACATCTGTCATCCGACTTACATGATGTTAGGTGCATTTGAAAGAGGATGAATGTATCTTTTTAATGTTGAAATTTTCAATAGATGGCGCTGTATGTTGTATTTATGATTTAAATATAAAGTTCGGTTATTTTTCGGACACACCGTGTACTTCCGTATTTTTAATTGAGAATTGATCAGCTCATCTCCCAGCCGATTTTTCGTGGATTTGTTCTTATTCGTAGATGGGCGGCTTATGGGTGGCTTATGGTTACACGTCATTAATTCTTTTTTGACTAGATTCAATTTATATAATTGGTCGTAAAATTGTTTAGTATTTATTTAATCGAACATATTTTAATTATACCCAAATTTTTCACCATTTTTCCAATATGCCCTAGAAACATAATGAGTGCCTATTCAATCGTCCCTTCAAGACTGGTATAATCCGATGTTACGTACCGTCCGGGAAGGATGTTGTTATTCGAAAAACACATTTTAACGTGACGAGTTATACGTTCCTTTATTGTAACTTTCGCTGTTTTAGTTACTATTTGTTTTTAAATCTTAAAATACATTTTTTTTTTTTTAGTTATTATTATTTTATAAATATGTATGTAACTTGCAAAGGGTCCATCAG